CTTTTTGAGTTATCTTGAAAAAGCCCTTTGTTTTATCTTTTTCCACCCTTGGCCGGGGGTTGAACAAAAAATTACTCTCACTTATTATTATAATATACCTTAAACTAACTCATATCAAAAATTCAGCCAAGTTGACAAAATTTCGATTTAAAGGCTTAGTTAATTGGACTATCAGGGCAGTATTCTGGACCGGCCAAGGCCTGCGCAATCAGAGCCACCAAAGCGATGAAAATAACTTTTGAAATCATGTTTCTCAGGTATCAGTATGCTTTTGTTAAAACAAAATGAATTGACATGGCAGTAGCGGCTTCCTTTGAGACGAATTTTTCTGGATCAGTGCGAACTGCAAGGAAGCGGGTGAAAGATTTGGAGCTGAAGAATTATGTGGCCGCAAATACAGTTGCTTTGACACCCCAGTATAAAGAACAGAGTTTAGAGTTTGCAAGACAATTTGTAGGAAGCCGAAACAACTTCTGGGAGAATATTATATATTTATTTATATATATATACACAGCGGAGCGATAGATTCTCCATTAACGTTTGGGCTTGAATAAGCTGCCAAAGTCCTGATGTTTGTTGTGACCATGCTGTATCCTCAGAATTTCACTTTCAAGCAGGATAATTGTGCAATTCACACCTCAAGAGTTGCGTCAGAATGGTTCATTGATAACAACATCGATGTTTTACCTTGGCCCTCAAAGTCCTGGTGTGGTGAAAAAAAATTACGATAGAAATTTCCGTCCAGTTAACGTCGAAGAATTTTGGGAGGCAATTGAAAACTCATGGGATAACATCACTGAGGATTATAACAAGAACATTAATTTTATCAATGCCATGTAGATTGCAGTGTTATAGACAAAAATGGTGCTTGGACAAAATATTAACTTTACGAATCGCTTTATTTTGACGACGAAAAGTGTTTCATTTTTAGATCTCGTTGACGGCGAATAAATGGCCGTTAGAATGAATAATATATTTCAGTATTGGAAAAATAAATAATTTGTTACCTAATTTGGATTTGTTTTGCTCACTAGAATATGATATGATAGACACACATTAAATTTGACATAATGACTGAAACTTTCAAAGGGTACTGTACCTACGTTGCTATTTACCATTTTCTATTGAATTCTATTTTGGAATAAGTTATCCATGAAAAATAGGCCCTGCTAAAAAAATGTCGTCCCCCAAAATTTTATCACTAAATATTTTTTGCCAGTAAAGTTACGGGAAAAATCAAATAAATATTTGAAACCTTTAACACCCTGTATCTCGGTAGGGAAGCATCCTATCAAAAATTTTTATAGGGCAAAAAAGTTGATTATTTTCATTGGTAGAATACGCCATTAAAGTTTGGCAAAACTTATCATTAACACCCTGTAGATATTTTTCAAAAAATATTATGGCAGATCTGATCTTGACAATCCCAGTAAGAGTTATTTTTTGCTTTTACCCCTTTAATGAATTATTACATCAGACTAGTTAGGTACTTTTAGTCCTGCCACATCCGAAGATTTGTTAAGTGCTTTTCTTGGCGGTCATTCTGATTGTGAATGACTATACTAAGAAAATTACAATAAATGGGCTTGCTTAAAAAACAGGAAGAAGGTTCTCAGAATCTGTTATCTATTGGCACTTGTTGTTTGTACCTATTAGCGATATGTATTACAAACGTAAGTTGTAATCACTCTTAATAATGCTTTGCAGATTCGTCGTCGAGTACACTTGAATACTGTTTTTGTTTTATTTCAAGATTGTAGGTAGGTATTTACGTGTATTTGTATGTATGTGTATGTATTTACGTGTTTACAGATTTAATTGAAGTAATCATTGTTTAAATAAAATTTATGTGTAATAATTTGTGCAATTCAGTGCCCTAAACCAATTTCTGTAAGAATTCAAGAAATCTATCTGGTATTTTGTCACCTATGGAACAGAATTTTTAAAATTAATCAAATAGACCCTTGCCTCAAAAATATCAGTCAAGGGTTATTTTTGGAAAATAGTTTTGCCTATCAAAAAATCCCACACCGAAAAAATCAGACAAATACGAAATACATATCACTACATGTGTACCTACTACGTTCTTCAGAAAGTTGTCAATGTTTCGAAAATATATCTGTTTTCATCTTCTGAACTTATAATGACTTTTATGATATACACTATTGGACAAAAGTAAAGCAACAAACTGCTAATTTTGCATTTTTCATTTTTATACAATACATGGACTCACATGACAGATGCTGATCAAGGAATATTGACAGCCTAGGCCTAGAGTGTGCAGAGTAAAACGCGAAGTGCATAAGAGACAAAAAGGATACGAAGCTTAGTGTGTAGGACAGATTAAGAAGGTAGAGATGTATTAATAACAAAAGTTTTATATGTATGTGATTAATTTATTGCGAAATATCCATCAATAAAACATAATTGCTTAGTTTATTATTCAGAAAAAAATTTTACGTAGATTTAGAGTAGGGTAGTATTAGGTTATCTCTTAACTAAGAAACGAAATTAGGTTTTGCATTGAAAATAGAATAAATAAAGCAAATCGTTAATCATTCATATAAATTACGTTTATTTTATTTAAATTATATGTAAATTATAAATAAAAGGATGATAAAAGTAAAATAAAATTGAAATCATATTTCTATTATAAATATAGTAATTTAGGTTATATAAAGTTAAAAAAGTTCAGTGAATAATATAAAAATTTTAATATTGATTTCTCAGAACCTCACCCTGAGGTAAGATTGCTCATGCTGAATTATTTTTTTTATATTGTTTTAAAAATTGACCAAAGACTTTCTCTATAAATTTGCAGACCATATCTACATTAAATTATAAATATATGCTTACATGCTTACATAAGCTGCATATCCTACAAACGAATTTGTTACAATCTTACCTAACTATGTTATTGAATTTTTATCTCTAAGACTCTGTTTTATATTAATTTCGTTAAATATGATTACCCTCTTATGTATCGGATGTTAACTTTATAGTGTGTTTACTTCGTACCGACATTATCTCAGAGTGTACACTTAAACATGCTTATAGATAATTATCTTTTGGTACTATATAAAGGGACTTAACGAAATTAGTGGTCACAGTATTAAATTTAAGCATACTGATACTTGAGAAACATATTTTCAAAAGTAGTTTTCATCGCTTTGGTGGCTCTGATTGCACAGGCCTTGACCGGTCCAGAATACTGCCCTAATCCGTCCACTGCGTTAGTTTCACTTTTATTATATTCTATAACACCTCATGTGAGATTAACCGATCATAAAAGTAATGTCATAAAATTAAAATAATAAAAAAACTTTTAAAATTTATCGATTTATTTTTCAGGAAGGAACAGATCTATAATGGTATTGTACATGAAGATAATCCCTTATCTGGACGTGTTTCATAAGACGTTATTCTTAAGACGGAAGATGAAAAAATTCCCACTTGCATACTGGTTAGTTTTCATCTTGAATCTTTATTTTTTTATAAATGCAAAAAGTATATCAAAACATGACCAATAGGTACATTTAAAAACCATTACATTTAAAAACAATAATATGTTTAGTTAGGTTGTTGGAAAATAGATATTATGTAGAAAATTGTCTGCATAGTCATTACCGTGGTGCAGTGACAGTTCTTTTTATTGTTCTTTCAATTTGACTGATACTTAATTTTTATCGTAGGTGACTGGAGTCGCTTCTAGTGAATCGGAAGGCGTTCTTTCCCAATCTGCCATTGGAATTTCAAAGGAAGGTGATGTAACTGTTAAGCTACTTTCCACAATTAAAACTGGAATTGATGTATCCCTTGAAGTGTATACGGAATAAATTGTAATCAACCTCCTATACTGCAGATGTGTAAAATAAAATTCATATTAAAAGTATGTGTGTGTTAATTGAGGGGTATAGATGCAAAACTCACATTATCCGCTTTTTCAAATTTTTCAGGAAGAAGGAATAACTGATTTCTCACTTTTTAAGTGACTTATGGCTCTGAAATTTTTTTTTGGTATTGTATTAGAACTTTAACTTTGCTTCTTAATTGGTGAAATGACAGCACAACAATATTTGACTCCAAGAAAGTGAATTAAAGTTTGGATAATGTGAGTTTTGATACAACTTTTTGGATAATGGTAGTTTTGCCCCAAATTATTCTACATAATATTATTTTTTACACCAAAATTTATGAAATTAAAGGAACTTTGAAACAAACTCAATATCAATAAAACTTTTATGTAATATGGTAGTTCATAATCAAAATAAAAAGCTGCACAAAATACTTAGAATACGGTTTTATTATCAGTGAAAGTGAAATATTTTTATAATGAATCTAAAATTGCAATGTACAAAAAATGTCGACAGTAAAAAGTTCTAATATCCGATATTAAAATATAAAACTTCAGAACTAAACATATCTATCAATATTGACATCGGGCAGATTTCAGCTGAACCTGAAAGTTTTACATGTACACTATTGGACAAAGAGTATTAAATGCGTTTAATAACGGGGAGAGTCAGGCAGACATTGCACGTCGGTTTGAAGTGGGCACATACACTGTTTCGAGGAGATTGTCAAAATTTAAAGAAAGAAGACATTTAAAACAATATGCCAAAGTCGGGCAGACCTAGAAAAACATCAGCAAATGACGACAGATTGATTAGACGCATTTGTCGCGCGGATCCATAGAAGTCAGGTCCCATAATTATGGCGGATTTTGGAAATTTAAACATTTGTGAGCGCACAGTTCGTAGAAGGTTAGTCAAGGGGAAGCTTTTTTGTAGAAGGCCGGCCAAGAAACCATTAATTTTTGCAAGGAATAGAGCTGCCAGGCTAGAGTTTGCCAGAGCTCATTTGACTTGGACTGAAAATGACTGGAAAAAAGTATGAAAAACGTTACAATATTTTCAGTTCTGATGGTATGCGTCGCGTAAGAAGACCCATAAATCAGAGATTCAATCCTGCTTATGTAACACCAACTGTTAAGCATGGCGGTGGAACTGTATTTTTATGGGGATGTTTTTCCTTAAACAGAATAGGTCCTATCCATTTCATTGATGGAATTATGGATTGTTTTGTGTATAGAGATGTGTGCAGAGTAGGAAATGCCTCTGAAATTCATATTTCAGCAGGACAATGATCCCTAGCATACCTCGCAGTTTGTGAAAGATTGGTTTCGTGGCAATAATGTACGAGTTTTGGATTGGCCATCACAATCATCTGATTTAAATCCCATTGAGAACTTGTGAGAAGAAGTAGAAAGGAAGATAAGGACAGAAACATTCAGAAACAAAGAAGCTTTACAGAATAAAATAATTGAATAATTGAAATTTGGCAAAGTTTGCCCAGGTGTGCAAAAGCTATTGCAAATAATGTTTATGCAATCAACTATTAATAATTAAGTCTTAAGTTGGGATTATCTAGTTGTTGTTAACAGATTTGTCAGATTTTTTTGTTAATTAAATAATGTTGCTTTACTTTTGTCCTATTCATAACCCAGTACCTAATATTTAATACATAATAACAATAATAATACCTAATACACTGACGTATAATTTTTTTCTGTTTATTATGGGCGACAATTACATTTAAGATTTATTTATTCATTCGTATAAAAGTTTATTTCTTGTCATCCCCCGATTTTAAATTGATAAAAAAATGAAAAATGCAAAATTGGTAATTACTTTTGTCCAATAGTGTATATCATAAAAGTCATTATAAGTTCAGAAGATGAAAACAGATATATTTTCGAAACATTGACAACTTTCTGAAGAACGAGGTAGGTAAACATGTAGTGATATGTCTTTCGTATTTGTCTGATTTTTTCGGTGTGGGATTTTTTGATAGGCAAAACTATTTTCCAAAAATAACCCTTGACTGATATTTTTGACGCAAGGGTCTATTTGATTAATTTTAAAAATTTTTCCCTAGGTGACAAGATACCAGATAGATAAAGAAAAAAAAATGCCACAAATAAATCTTAACCTCAGACAATATTCCATACATTTTCTACGATTTTCTTGAATTCTTACAGAAATTGGTTTAGGGCACTGAATTGCACAAATTATTACACATAAATTTTATTTAAACAATGATTACTTTAATTAAACCTGTAAACACGTAAATACATAGAAAAACAGACCTACAATCTTGAAATAAAACAAAAACAGTATTCAAGTGTACTCGACGACGAATCTGCAAAGCATTTTTAAGAGTGATTACAACTTACGTTTGTACTACATATCACTAATAGGTACAAACAACAAGTGCCAATAGATAACAGATTCTGAGAACCTTCTTCCTGTTTTTTAAGCAAGCCCATTTATTGTAATTTTCTTAGTGCAGTTATTCATAATCAGAATGATCGCCAAGAAAATCACTTAACAAATCTTCGTATGTGACAGGACTAAAAATAACTAGTCTGATGTAATAATTCATTAAAGGGGTAAAAGCAAAAAATAACTCTTACTGGGAACTGGGATTGTCAAGATCAGATCTGCCATATTTTTTGAAAAATATCTACAGGGTGTTAATGATAAGTTTTGCCTTTGCCTTTATTGGCGTATTCTACCAATGAAAATAATCAACTTTTGCCCTATAAAAATTTTTGATAGGATGCTTCTCTACCGAGATACAGGGTGTTAAAGGCTTCAAACATTTTTTAGTAGGGCCTATTTTTTCATGGATAACTTATTCCAAAATAGAATTCAATAGAAAATGGTAAATAGCAACATAGGTACAGTGCCGTCCCTTTGAAAGTGGACGACTCTTTTAAGCAAATTGTCTATAATTGGCCTTTGTGAAGCTGACTTGAAAATGTGAGGTTCAAATCGGCTGTCATTATGTCAAATTTAATGTGTGTCTGTCATACTAGTTCTAGTGAGCAAAACAAATCCAAATTAGGTAGCAAATTATTTATTTTTCCAATACTGAAATATATTATACATTCTAACCGCCATTCATTCGCCGTCAACGAGATCTAAAAATGAAACACTTTTCGTCGTCAAAAAACCGCGATTCGTAAAATTAGTATTTTGTCCAAGCACCATTTTTGTCTATAACACTGCAATCTACATGGCATTGATAAAATTAATGTTCTTGTTATAATCCTCAGTGATGTTATCCCATGAGTTTTCAATTGCCTCCCAAAGTTCTTCGACGTTAACTGGACGGAAGTTTCTGTCGTAAATTTTTTCACCACATATCCCCAGCACTTTGAGGGCCAAGGTAAAACATCGATGTTGTTATCAATGAACCATTCTGACGCAACTCTTGAGGTGTGAATTGCACAATTATCCTGCTTGAAAGTGAAATTCTGAGGATATAGCATGGTCACAACAAACATCAGGACTTTGGCAGCTTATCCAAGCCCAAACGTTAATGGAGAAACTATCGCTGCGCTGTGTGGGTTTCACATAAGGCTCCGAATACCTCATAATCTCTGATGGGTAGACACGGACAGAAGCATCGGAACAAGACTGAAAACTTTTTTCGTCCGAAAATATAATATTCTCGCAAAAGAACTCTAACTTCTGTTCTTTATACTGGGGAGTCAAAGCAACTGTATTTGCGGCCACATAATTCTTCAGCTCCAAATCTTTCACCCGCTTCCTTGCAGTTCGCACTGATCCAGGAAAATTCGCTTCAAAGGAAGCCGCTACTGCCATGTCAAAAGGATTTATTCTTAGGTGGTGTTTACTTTTCGACGTCCACCTCCGTGAACATAACGTACGTGACCCTCCGCAATTCATTTTCTTTGCGTTTAAATATGCTGTTCTTGCATACATGCAGATCATCCGCAATGACCAATCATTCTGAAGTAAAGTTATAGCTCTCACTTTCTCTGGTTCCGTTGAACGCGGCATCTTGAATTACCATGCAAATTATTAATGACACTGACATATAAAAACTCATAGTAAGAAGTAGACTACATCACATTAGAAAAATTAATCGTCCACTTTCAAAGGACCGGCAGTGTACTTAAGTATCTTCTTATTTGATTTCAAAATTATCTAAAGACCAGTAAATTTTACGAATACTTTACAAGAATACTTTATGGCCACAAATTGATTGTATCTACATTTTAAAAATATAAAAAATTGTTTAAAAAACCAGTGACGTACGATTTTTTTTCAAAAAAGTTCGCCTACTTAATTCCCCCTAATACAAATATCTGAAACTTTTAACGCCCTTTATCTCCGTAGGGAAGCGTCCTATAAAAAATTTTTATACAGCAAAACTTGATTATTTTCATCGGTAGAATACGCCGTTAAAGTTTGGCAAAACTTATCATTAACACCCTGTATAAAGTGTTAATGAAATAATGATATAATAATAATTTAGTAAAACATTTTCTGTTTCCCGTCATTGTTGGCTTCGCCTTTGAACGTCCCGAAGACGAACCCTCGCGAATTCCGGTCACACCCCGGCATGTTAAAACGAGGTGTTTTTATCTTGTTTAACTCCCGCTACCGAGTTAAGAAGTTATGGTTAACTTTCGTGTAACGCGCCAAAGTGTGCGCCCTCATCGCCCGCTTACAATTCCTTTCTCGTCCCAGTTACGAAATTGATGTCACCTGGAGATCGCGAAGGTGACAAACCGTAAAAATAGTTGCTTTCATAAGAAGTCGGAGGATTTCCCGCGTAACGAGCAACAAAAACCCGGAAAGTTATGCGCACGTTGTAAGTTCGACTCTCTGGAGTTCGGCTCTCATTTGGTATTCCAGATTTGGGATCGCTGATACATGCTAAGCTTCTCGATAGGATAAACTTTATTCCGACAATACGAACCGGGGATATATCGCCATTACCATACATGCATAGATTTGGTCTCCTGACATGCGATAGCGGTGTTTCAGATCGATCATCGAGCAGATTTAATGACATTCCAGGCTGACAGTGCGCTTCACTTTCCAACGATGAATAAAAACACTTTTTTCGATAGTAGGTCGGATTCAGGTCTATGATTTGTATTTACTTCGAATTCATTGGAAAAGGGGTACACAATGGGAGTATAAAATCCTTTCTCGTCAACGCGATTACATCAATTGTTTTAGAGTTTAAAATTTAAGGATTTACGGAATAAATCCTTACTGATACTTTTTCTATGTTAAATAAAAAATTAAAATGTCAATGTCACAGCTTGATTTTGCTATTCCTCACGTATTAGTAATTAGTCCACGGGCCCACGTACAAAGAAAAAAATGTTTACCAGCAAGCTGTAAC